GAAAAGAGAGCTTGCTCCCTGCAATAGCCTTGTGCTTTGCTGCCACCTAATGTTCGATTAAAAGAACTACAGCGCCCGAATCATTGATTTAATTAACAACCCCCAGCATTGACTTATTAAGTGGAATCCAATGCAGGTAATGGAAATCCTCAACTTACGACCACAACCGAGGCCCAGAATTTCTGTGACTAAGCAAGGCGATTGTTAAGCCAGTGGTGGCTGATTTTACCATCTTTTTTTTTTGCTGCCGTTGTTAAGCGAATCAGTGCTGTTGTTAAGTGAACCAGGCGACAGGCTAAACTTCTCCCATTTGATTTTCTTGTCGGAAGTCAGCTGGGAAGCTCTCAGATCACACTCACATGACCCCAGGATGCTGAAACTGTCCTAAGTACATGCCAGTTGCCAAGTGCCTGGCTTTTGATCATGTGACCATAGGGATGTTGTAGCAGTCGTGAAAGTTGGAATCACTTGATTGAGTGCCATTGTAACTTTGAATGATCACAAAACGAATGGTTGTAAGTTGGGGACTGCCTACCGGCAACTGCTGAGTGGGACTAAAGGTTTTTGGGACATGGGAACAAGGACCTGATTGGCGGGAGAGAGGTGAGTCTCTTTACCATGGCCTCATCGATTAAAATAATAATAACAACAACAAATAACAACAATCAGAATAGATCTGGAAGGGACCTTGGAGGTCTTCTAGTCCAGCCCCCTGCTCAAGCAGGAGACTCTATTCTATTTCAGACAGGGGGCCTGTCCAGTCTCTTCTTAAAAACCTCCAGTGTTGGAGCAATCACAACTTCTGGTGGCAAGCTGTTCCACTGGTTAATTGTCCTCACTGTTAGGAANAAAGGGCGGCATATAAATACAATAAACTGAACTGAACTGAACTATTTATTATATTATATTATATTATTATATTATTATATCATATTATTATATTAGTATATTATTATATTAGTATAAGATTGGATTAGATTTATTATACTACATTTACTTTATTTTATTTTATTTCCCTTCCCTTCCATTTTCTTTCCTTTTCCTTGCCTTGTTCTGCTTCCTTTTTTCTTTTCTTTTCCTTTCCTTTCCTTTCCCTTCCATTACCTTGTTGTGTTGTGTTTTGTTGTGTTGTATTGTGTTTTGCTTTATTTCATTTTTATTGCCAACTGTACCCTAGCCAACCTGCAGTCTTTTCCACTTTGCCCCGGCCTGCCCTACTTTTAAAACATTTACCAAAGAAGTTTCGGGTTAATCCTTCCAGAAGCTCGGTGACAGCTTCAATTCTTTCCCCGCGGTGGGTTTATAAGAGGGCAAATGTGAAGAGCCAGCTCCCCAAACCACCTTCCTCTAAACCTTTTTAAGTGAAAGATGATTTACAGTTAAGCTAACAAAAAAAAAACGCCAAGTCCGTTCCAGAGTCTGGAAAATCTCAGCCTGATTTCGGTAATCTTAACTCACGGGAAAAAGACTTTTTTTTCCCCGTCTCACGGAGCCGGGATTCATTTAACCCCCCCCCTCAAAAAAAGAGAGACCCTTTTGCCAGACGTTCATTAAATTAGAAAAGTTTTATGGAGGGTTTTTGTTTTTTTGAGGGGTGGGTGGGAAACCATCAACCATGGCTTGGGAGCCGAGAAAGGAGAGACGTGAAATAAGTTGGTTAGATAAAGGAGCTTATTTTTTATCTATTTTACCCTCCACGCACATCACTCCGGCCCCTTCCTGAGAATGGTATAAATTCATCACGACTTTTTACAGGGAGACAGGATCGAGCTGAAATATTTTAATTAGGAATATTAAGTCCCCGGGTGCCTCAAAGTTCAAGCTAATGTAGCTGAGATGGAAACACTTAAAGCCCTTTGAACCCAGTCGATGACCTTCTGAAAGGCCTATTAATATAGATGGGGACTGGCCCTAATGGAGTCAGCTTAGCGCAGAGCTCTTCAAACCTGGCCACTTTTAAGACTCGTGGACTTCAACTCCCAGAATTCTCCAGCCATCTGGTGGCTGGAGAATTCTGGGAGTTGAAGTCCACGAGTCTTAAAGTTGCCACGTTTGGCGACCCACTGGCCCTTAGTGAGTCTAGCAGAGGCAGAAAATGGAAGGTTTTTCGCTGGCAGGGCTTGGAGGAGGCTAAATAGCCCGCTTGGTAAAAGGGCACTGCTTCCTTTGATTGAAAAGAGTCATCCCTCCGCGCCTCTCGTGCACACTCGTCGAGAGATGCACAATTGTTGTGAAGGAGGGACCTCGCGCAGCTGCTCCGCAGCACCACAAAAAGGCTTTATCAACGGAGTGGTCAACTCGCAACTGTTTGTGGAATGACTGTTTGAAATAACAATGATGTTTATGCAGTGTGTGTTGGAGGTGGTGATCCTTTGAGAGTTGTATGCAATGAAATTTCATTTTAATGTATGATTAGTATATATTCAAAGGGGCAATAAAGTTATTATTCTATTCCATTCTATTCTCTTTTAGTCTATTCTATTCTTTTTTATTCTATTCTATTATTCTATTCTATTCTCTTTTAGTCTATTCTATTGTCAATAAGGATTCCATTCTATTATTCTATTGTTCTTTTTATTCTATTCTATTCTATTCTTCTATTCTATTCTATTCTATTCTATTCTCTTTTAGTCTATTCTATTGTCAATAAGGATTCCGTTCTATTATTCTATTCTATTTTTTAGTCTATTCTATTCTTTTTTTTCTATTGTGTTCTTCTATTTTATTTTATTCTATTCTCTTTTAGTTTGTTCTATTGTCAATAAAGATTCCATTCTATTATTCTATTCTATTCTTTTTAGTCTATTCTATTCTATTCTTTTTTAGTCTATTCTATTCTTCTATTTTATTCTATTCTCTTTTAGTCTATTCTATTCTCAATAAAGATTCTATTCTATTATTTTATTCTATTCTTTTTAGTCTGTATCTATTCTATTCTGTTCTTCTATTTTATTTTATTCTATTCTCTTTTAGTTTGTTCTATTGTCAGTAAAGATTCCATTCTATTATTCTATTCTATTCTTTTTAGTCTATTCTATTCTATTCTTTTTTAGTCTATTCTATTCTTCTATTTTATTCTATTCTCTTTTAGTCTATTCTATTCTCAATAAAGATTCTATTCTATTATTTTATTCTATTCTTTTTAGT